ATTTAGCAAAGCCTTGTCTCAAAATAAAAAAATAAAAAGTACGGGGATATAGCTCAGTAATAAAACACCCTTGGGTTCCATCCCCAGTACCAAAAAAAGAGAGAGAGAGGGAAAAAAAAAAGTGGTATGGAACTGATGTCATACCTGGGGGCAGGTGACAGTGGACAGGAGTTCCTCTGGTGGGGCTCAACCGAAAACTTGCTGAGCTGTCACCCCTTCAGCTTTCACCTTACCAGTGTGTCCCACCCTTGTGATTGAAATAATGACCTGAGCTCTACTTCTTTCTGGTCACACGTTGTTAACCTGCCACTGGCCCTGCCAAGTCAGAGCCACCCCTTCTGTGTCCAGAGCCTGAGTCCACAACAGACTATCCCCTCCCCCTGCTAGGATCTCTGTGACTGACACCTCGCTCTGCTTCCTCACGTCCTGGCCCATGCTGTACCCTGCATACCTCTCCACCATTGTGATTCAGCCCAACTGCAGTCATCTGCCCAGTTTCAGAGACACTATGTTCCTGGGTTCTTATAGCACAATACAAAGCACTCCAAGCTCTACCAAGTGTTGCTACTTGCAAAGTTTCAAGACTGAAGTACCTTGCAGCTAACAGAGCAAGCCATGCTGCCAATGTCTATAGAAGGCTTTCTTGACACAAATGTCACATTCCCCTTGCCTTTTGACAAGATAAGCAGATCCTACCAGAAGGTTCCCATAGGATCAATAGATGCTGTGCTGAAGATTTTGCCAGAGAGAAGCACAAGGTTCCTGGAGATTATTGTTACATTTACCTCTAATTTGACCAATAACAAATGGACCAGATTAAAGTGAAAAATTGTGGGGCTCTGGGTCTTAAGAGGTCTTCATGTCTGGTTGCTCACAGAGGTTCCACCCATGAATGACCTACAGCATGCAGACCTGTGCTACTATGTTAGTTGGCTTTTCATCACTGATCAAATACCTGACAAGAATAGCTTAGAGGAGGAAATGTTTACTTTGGCTCAGTTTCAAGAGATTCAGTCAATGGTTGGTGGAACCCATCACTCTGGGCCCAAGATGAAGCAGAACATCATGTCAGAGGGTTTAGAGAAGCTCATGACAGGTGGAAGCAGAAAGAAAGAGGGAGGCATGCCCACAGTGACCCGCCTCTTCCAGCCATACCCCACCTGCCCACACTCACCACCCAGCACAATAGTCCTTTCAAATTATTAATCCATCAAATGGATTAATTCATCAAATGGATTAATCCCCTGATTAGTTTACAGCTTTCACAATCTTATTATGAGCTTTCAGGAGACACAGAGTATCCACACCATAACAGCTACCCTTTTTTTTTTTTTTCCTCATTCTTTGTCTCAATTTCATCTGCAATTAATTTTGCTGTTTTGGTGTTTCATTTTGTTTGTTTCATAAACCCACCTATTGGAAAATTCTCTGAGGTTACAAAATGCAAGATAAGAAAACCTTAGAAAAATAACAAATTCTTTTATTTCTACTTCAAAATATACTGTATACATCTGGGACTCTAAGGGGAAAGTAGACCAGGAGGTTATTCCATCA